ACGGTGGAAACTAATCTTTGATTAGTTTGTGTTCAATCGCTTTTTTGGACATTTTTTTTCAAGTGTAGATAACCAGTTTTGGCTCAATTGGCATTCTGAATCTTAACAACACTCAGAAATATCCAAGCAAACTCTTTTGTATACTTATTGCCATAACTGGGTCATAATTCAAGTATTACCATAACTTGCCAGACTAACTATCGCAATAACTCCATGGAAATTCAAGCGGCAATTCACTTACCGTTAGGTAAAGCGAACAATGACAAAATGCACAGAAGATGGCCGTTCAAGTCTGAAAATACGTTTGACTACAGCCGCTAATGCAAACTAACCATGTAGACTCGACAGGCGGAGTCAGAAATTATCCAATTCTAGGGAGGGGGGAGGGGAGGGGTGTGTTGGTGGCAGTCGTTGTTTGGCAGGCCAACCTCTACCAAAAAGAAGCTTTGCGGCTACTTCCTAACACCTGTTTTAATGGAAAAGTTGACAAAGATCTCACTCCCATCAAAACATTATCAAAAACACGATTAACGATCTTATACCTAAACATAAGAACTACCGGCCACTGATACTTTACTGTCATACATTAGAGAAAGCCAAAACGCACTTTAAATTTTTCACGACTTTACTTTCCTTGGCCTAGACAAACTTCTTTTTGCGATGAATATTACATCTCTTCATATTGTCATTCAGGACGAAGGTCTCCTGGCCCTCAAACACTTTTTTTTGTCAACGTACTGTTAAGGAACCTAGCTCTAAAACACCACTAAACTGTTAACGGTGGCCAATTTACATTAACAACTCAGTTGATAATACCAAATTGTTTTGTTGCATGTATAGTCTCCCACCGATGCAACGCCACGGTTTCTTTAGAAGCTTACCCCCTTTATTTATCCAGTAACATAATGCCTCGTTCAATGATCTGACCTGATCTCGAAATCGCGCTCATCGTAAAGCCATCGCGTTTCCTTCAAAGTATTTTCACATAATTGTCCCAATCGTCCTAGAAGACCTTCTTTTGGACGCCTGAAACGACCCAGAATATCCTATGGAAACCAGCCATAAGTAACAGTATAACTTTTATGAGAAAAACACATCGTGAAGATCGAAATCATTAAATTCAGTTCAAAATTTGTCTCTGACTAATAGCAGACAAAGTTTTTGATTAATCCTTATCTCAAGGATTTGAGGGATTTAAATAAAGGTCTTTCGACAAACATACATAAATTTGTTGGTCGGCTGGTGAGAAGTCAAAGCTTTAATAAGATAGTGCAAAGAGAAGATGTCACATGATTACTCTTGGCAGCGTACGAAAGGTTGACTTGAGTATCTATGCCCGAATCCGCTCAGTACATACCGAGTGAATAATCTTCCCCTAGAGAGCATGCTGGTAATAATCAAAGTCGCACCGATTGAAGCACAAATTGAACCTTCCTTGTTCGTAGGGGGGATCATTATAATATTACAGAGCCTTGTGGAAAGATCAGGTTAATTTTATCGTGACGTTACCAGAATCCTTCGACCCCTGCTTCATAACCAGGCATTCTTAAAATCGCTAGGTTGCTTACTTTTAGCGGCGCAGTTAGATATAACTCGTCTAAGATCGTAGGAAATACGTAGTAAACAGATAGGTAACTTGATATAATATTGGAATGGAACCATTAACCTGAGTAAATATCACCCTTTGCTGTCCCTTTTTTTTTTCATAATCACTGCGGTAATAGCGTAACGTAACAACTTTAATATGAAACCATTAGGCGAAAACTTCCAACCACAATTGTACATTGTACAAAACGTTTGGGTCGCCGACTGGAAAATTCTAAAGTCGCTTTTCATGTTTGCTTTTTATCATGGCCACGCCAAATCGGGTAAATGTGTATATTAATTCTCAAAAACCTTTACAAACCATCACCATAAAAACCCGCGCAAAACAGCTTGCCTGTTAAATTAAACATTTCGTATCAATAGCATATGGAATGACTCTCGAGACAAGTTACGAAATACTACGCGGGGAGAATTACCGTAAAGGTTATAGAAAATAATCTGAGGATCAAGATAGATTGAAGAATTCCTAACACACTAGAGGAATAGCAGCTATAATGAACTCTGTATAAGTATTAGTGGGTCTCATATCAAACCGAAAATCTGTATAAGGAAAACAATACGTCTTAAGTCCAAAATTTTGATTATTGATTATCTATGTATTGAAAAATGAACTTACACTGAAACTATCCTACCTGAACAGACACAGACACTAGAATTAAGCACCTCATTTACATAAACCCTTTCTAAGCAAACAACTTGATGAGAAATTTTCGTTTATCTTCGTCCTGATGCAGTTTAGATTTCATTGTTGACTATTAGAAATCTGTGACTCAAAGGTTCTGTTTGAAAGATCGCGGATTACTAATTCTGTTCTATTTGGCGTTTAACAATAAAAACAGTTCTGTGCAATTTACTGGACTTGTCTAACTCTGATACAAGGGGGAATCCCGCGGATGGCCACCCAATTCACTCAAACTGTGTGTAGAGTAATTGCAAACGATGGGAAATTTGATCGGCTACGAAACTAAATTATTTGTCTTTAAATAGTAAAAAACAAACAAAAACGAACATATTTTAGCACCTGGTAAACCTTGTTTTCAGCAACTCTTATAATGATCACTGCTCAAAGTCAGTGCACAAAAAAAAGCACATAGAGGGCACTTGTAAAGGTGGTGGCGAATGATACAACTTTGTTGTATGCTGGTAAGGCGTTTACGCTTGACGAGGTGCTGTCTGCAAGCCCATTGCACTTGTTCTGTTCACAGCACGTGGCCTCGCATTTTTCATAGATTATTCCAGGTTGCAGTCGCGAGGCATTGCAAAACTTTGCCCGGACGTCTTGGCACATTGACTGTGTAAAGATTGAAATAAGAAAAAATAAAATATATGATAGCAATGGTCGAAAAGAGTTTTTCTTGAACATTTTTATGGATTAAGCTGAGAGAAGGGTGGAGGGGAAAGAAATTGTCAAAGCTTTCGTGTCACTACCCATCATTTCTGGAAAAGTGGAAACATTTTATCATAAAACAAATTCGTTTGTTTGCAACCTGTTAGATTAAAATTATTATTGTACTCCCCATCCCAACCCTTGCTCTTACATTGAAACACTTATCCAAGCTTCTGAATGGGTTAACTGCAACGAGATTTGTGCGAGAACCTTGATTGTTTACGGGTGATTCATTTCTTTGCCTAGATTGATGCACAAGAAATTATTTCAGAATAGTTTCAAACTGTGTCGAAATTCTAAATTAAACTGGGACTGTTTTGAAATTGTTCCGCACCATCACAAAGGCGTAGTTCCGCGCGTCTTACATGAGAGTGACCTACACCGCTCCTCTTTCATGTGTAGCATTGAGCTCGAGTTCATCTGAGATCACGCGGTGAGAAGGACAGGTAAATGGGGTACCTAGATCCTTATAAGGTCTATGCCATGAAGATTCTTCGGATTAGCACGCTTTCGCGAACCTGAATTACAGAACTGAGATTTTTATGAAATAGACTGAAAGCCGAACCTATCTAAAAAAGACAAGGGTCACATAACACGCCCGGAACACTCCATATCCAAGCCTCGCCACAGGACACAGATTCTGGCCACAGTTCTGGCCATCACCTGCTACACTTGCACTTGGTGTGCAAGTGTAGCAGGTGATGGCCAGAACTGCTGAAAAGAAGGGAAATTAGTATTATTATGGAGTTAGTGAACAAATTGATCCCCAAAAGTTATCTATGATCATTTTATCGTGACTTATCATTCAATGATCCAGTACGACTTGGTTTAAACATAATTCAACTTCGTTATCGAAGGAGGGAAAGAGAGGACCCTGGAAACGAGGCTTTGTGGCACAGGTGGTAATGACGTCCAATCAGAATTTTTTTTTCTCTCATATTCAAGTAACCCACGAAGGTGATGACAATGGAGTTTGTCCCTTAATTAGATTCGTGAGTAAAACTAATGCTCCATCAGTGAGAATTTCACGCTTTCGTCGTTGTTCAGATTATTCTGGATTGACCATCGTACAAACTATATTTGGGAAGCTATCTCTTACTTATATTAGAATCAGTAACGGCGTAAAATTACACAATGTCTTTTTGTAAATGACCTTCTCGCGAAATATGTTAGAGCGTAGGGATTGAGATTCGCACATTTTCATCTTCATTTTTATTTTTTTCCGGTGATCATACTGTCAATACTTAGATTGTTCGCTCTCTTCTTATTGTCAGACGATTCGCTGCTGGAAGCTCTTGACATATTTGAATTTGAAAGTTGCATTTTAATATGGCATATCAATGTTTTTACGGATGCGCTAGGGAAAAGCCTTCGATAATAACCAACAACAATGATATCACTATGATGATGCAGTTTGGTCCTTGTGTTTTGATAACCTTTATGATGACCTTTATTTATGCACGATAATATTTTAAGCTATAAGCTTGTGGAGTCATGTGAAAAAAAGGAAAATTTCACGTTATGTGAATATAACTTGAATTTGAAAATAGAAAATGATAGATGTTATGACTTCTAAGTAAAAAAATAATCGGTATGTATAAGCGAGCAGTAGAAGCGGAAAGTATGTCAAATTTGAATTCCTTAAAGTAGTCTCTGGTGAGTAGGCGTTAATTTTTTTCAGATTATTGAGACTCGAGCGTCCAACTTCTTGTTCTTAGTAGCAAATAGTGTTCCATAACACAGCGCCGCGATATTTGAGCGAGTCTTTTACGTATCTTGTTTGGAACCTGAATATTGTCAAAAGGTCGCGTCCCCTCAGAGAGTAACCATTTGAGCGACATTTAAGGATGTTTTCAAACAGTGAGTCGGAGATAGTGGCACTATAGCCTTTGTAAAAAAGCTTGAAGATGTCTAATTTATAGTACAAAGAAAGTGTAGGCCACTGGTCGTATTCAAGCACGTCGGATGATGTCATATGATTTATCTTTAAGTAGATTAAACATAATTCTTACTGCCCTGCAGTGTAGTCTTTCTGTTGAACCGAATATATCAGAATTACTTCAAGATCCTCACAGAACTAAACCCAATTTTCAGAAGTCAAAATTACTTTAAAATAAAATTCTTTCAATATGTCTCCTGGGAGAAATCTGTACCGTTTTAGCAAGTTCAGTTCTGGTCAACTGTTAAGCCCAGCAAGCGTGCTTTCGTAACCCACGTAAGAATTGAGTTTCCTAATAGCTCAAGAGCTATCGGTCCCATTGGGGTTCCTTTACTGAGTAACATAACCTCACTCTTGCCTGAATGATACGATACGATACGACAAACTTTTATTAGTAGTTAAAGCTAGTAGCTTGTGGGGTCGAGCATAAAATAAAATAACTACAAAGTTAAATTAAAAGTTTTAGATATATAACAAGATATGAAATACCAAACTTAAATACACGTATAATTAAAACATATGTTTAAGTTACTATATAGTAAAGCGATAAAATTTAAAATTTATAATATTCCAATTCCATGGATGAAGTGTTGAAAGATTGTTAAGGCACCATGCATGTAACTCTTGCAGCGCTGCATTTAACTGTGCAATATCTGTGTCTGCAATTTCCCCTGTACAATAGACCGTAGTATTGTCTGCGTACATATACAGTGATCCTGAGTTGATAGAGCTTTATATTCGTGAACAAGGCAATTTTATTACGATTTGGCTGTACGCTGAACATTTTCGCGCTCGAAAAAGAAGAGGATACTCCGCCCGAAATAAAAACAATATTTTTCGCAACTGAGGTCGTTAAAATTTCATGTATCCTTTAACGTATGATAGCGCATCAGTTTATTTGCCTTAATTACCTTCATTTCTGGTAGATGTCAATTTCGATTATTATGCGGTTTTACATAGAGGCGAAATCAACGAACAAAGCATGCCGTAAATTAATTCCGATCTTCCTTGCGAACACCAAAGTGTTTTATTCATCCCTGCTTTTGCCAAATATTTTCTCGTTAAACCGTAACACAGCACTTAGTAACTACTAACTATGGGTAGGATTATAGCAATTCTGTGCGAAGTGAGTAGTGAAATAAGCATAATTGGGTAAAAAAACTGAAAATTACTGTGTAAAACACTACTGGAAATCTTAGATAGTTATGTACAAAATAGATGCCTTTAAAGATCAGACAGAGCCCTTAAAATGTGAGCTGTGTTTTCAGCTTGCATAATTAAGGCACCAACTGACATGAATTAAATCCACTGTTCGCACGAAATTCGCCTCTAATTAATAAAGAGTGGTAAAAATCACTACCTTCACTAGGTAGAGACGAACAATAAGAAGGTCTGCATCAACTGTAAAAATAAAATGCAATCTACCTTTCCAGTCTACAGACTTAAGCCGTTCATAAGCCGTTCACGAAGGAATATTTTTTTTTACGAATAACTTTATTAAAGCACGATAAAATACCCACCAGCCATGCTGAATATTTTATCGTGGTTAAATGAAATTATTCATAAAAATATTTTCTTTGTGTCAATTTACACCCGTGAAGTCGGTGCGATTCAAAGTTCACACTCGTTATTAAAAAGCCAACGTTGAACAGCGCGACAGCGAAAATCGACTTCTGATTACTTTGTTTACAATCCCTTTTTTTGGACTATGGATTACCTTGAGTCAGCTATTCTGAGTTCTAGTCTAAACAACATTCCCAATTGTTTAGCAAACCCTTTCCTACGTTGCCATACTTTAAACTTTACCATAATTTGTCAGAATAAAATATCTATCGCAAGAATTCAATGCGAATTCAAGCGACAATTCACTTACTGTTTGGAAAAGCGAACAATGGCAAAATGCACATAAGATAGCCGTTCATCTTTAAGAGCGTCAAGTGAAAGCATCGCTGTCGGGAATTGAACTTCAACAACACGGCCAATGTATATAAACTGATGATGTTGACCCGAAAGGCCGAAGTGTTACTCGGAAATTTTCCGATGTTAGCGGAACTAACGAAAGACCTACACAACATGACCAAATATTCCCAGAGACTTTGGATTGGACAAATGTCGGAGCCTTCAAACCTAGAAAATATCTGCCATTTCCTTTTCAATAATTTAGTTACACATAAACACGTAAAAAATAGCGATAGGAACCGACGTTTTGGGATCTATATGACGCCAAAGGCCAAATTCACCATGGAGGTAAAAAAGAACGGCATGCTTCCTTTCCTTGGCACTCAGCTACTTAACTGTGCACCCAAGTGGAAACCAAGGTTTATGTGAAAACCAACTAACACAGGTTTACTATTTAACTATCAAAGCCATGTAGGCAATCGTTATAAACGGAGCTTATCGACAACCATGCTCGATCGCGCACACCGATTATCTTCCTCTTGGACGCATTTCTCTGACGAGTGTGATCGCCTGAATATAGATTTCTTAAAACAAGTAGAAGAGAAAAAGCCACAGATTATGAAACAATGCGATGTTACTTTTTATTTTACAGACGCAAGCCGTTTTTACACACCATCACCATAAAACCTGCACAAAACAGCTCGCCTGTTTAATTAAAAATTTCGTAGCGATAGCGTATGGAATGACTCTCTCGAGACAGGTTACGAACCACTACGCGGGGAAAATTACTGGAAAGTTTATAGAAAATAATCTGATGATCAAGATAGATTGACGAAATCCTATCAGGCCAAAGGAATAGCAGCTATAATGAACACTGTAAAAGTATTAGTGGGCGCCACATCAAACCGAAAATCTGTATAAGGAAAACATTACGTCTCAAGTCCAAAATTTTGATTATTGATTATCTATGTATTGAAAAATGAACACACATCATTATCATCTTCATCAATCTTTATTTATACACGAAATCATATCATTTTACATGGTCTTCCTAAGAATCGTGTTTAAATTATACTAAAATACTTTAAGAACTATTGACTATAATGTTAAACATACAAAAACAAAAACAAAAACTTATATTATATACTTATACACTGAAAGTGACCTTCCTAAACAGACACAGACACCAGAATTAAGCACCTCATTTACATAAACCCTTTCTAAGCAAACAACTTGATAAGAAAGTTTCATCTTTATCTTTGTCCTATTACAGTTTAGATTATATTCATCACTTTTAGAAATCTGTGTTCTAGTTACTCAAAGGCTGCGGATGACTCACTCTGTTCTGTTTAAAGTTAACAATAAAAACAGTTCTGTGCAATTTACTGGACTTTTCTAACTCTGATACAGGCGGGAATCCAGCGAGTGGTCTCCTAATTCACTTATACTGTATGTCAGGAGCCCATCACTTTTGTGTATGTAGAGTAGTTGCAAAAGATGGGAACTCTGATCGGCTACGAAACAAAATTATTTGTCTTAAAATAGTAAAAAGCAAATCAAAACAAACACATTCTAGCACCTGGTTAGCTTTGTTTTTAGCACTCTTACAATGATCACTGCTCAAAGTCAGTACACGAAAAAAAGCACATAGAGTACGCTTGTAAAGATGGTGGCGAATGATACAACTTTGTTGTATGCTGTGGCACCACTGGTAGGTTTTGGTGGGGTTCCTGTGGCCGTAGTTTTTACAGGAATACTAGTTGCCGGGCCATTTGGTGAGGCGTTTACACTTGGCGAGGCGTTGACACTTGGCAAGGCGTTTACACTTGGCGAGGCGTTTACACTTGGCGAGGTGCTGTTTGCAAGCCCGTTGCATTTGCTCTGCTCACAGCACGTGGCTTCGCATTTTTTAAAGGTCATTCCAGGTTGCAGTTGCGAGGCATTGCAAGACTTTGCCTGGAGGTCTTGGCACATTGACTGTGTAAAGATTGAAATAAGAAAAAAGAAAATAAATGACAACAATAGTCGAAAAGAGTGATTTTTTATGAACATTTTTAAGGAGTCAGCTAAGAGAGGGGGAAGAAACAGTCAAAGCTTTCGTGTCACTACCCATCATCGTGAAAATATTTTATCATAAAACAAACTTGTTTGTTCGCAACCTGTTAGATTAAAATTATTATTGTGCTCCCCATCCCACCCCTTGCTCTTACATTGAAACACTTATCCGCGCTTCTCAATTGTTTAATTGCAACGAGATTTTTTGCGAGAACCTTGATTGTTTACAAGTGATTAATCTCTTTGCCCAGATTGATGCACAATAAATTATTTCAGAACAGTTTCAAACCGTGTCGAAATTCTTAATTAAGCTACGACTGTTTTGAAATTGTTCCACACCATCACAAAGGCGTAGTTCTGCGCATGTTACGTGAAAGTGGCCTACACCGCTGTTCTTTCATGTGTATCATTGAGCTCGAGTTCATCTGAGCTCACGCGGTAAGAAGGACAGGTAGATGGGGTACCTAGAACCTTATAGGGTCTTTGCTATAAAAGTTCTTCGGGTAAGCACGTTCTCGCGAACCTGAACTACAGAATATTTTTATGGAATAGACCGAAAGCCAAACCTATCTGAAATAGACAAGGGTCACATTACCCCCGGACCACACCATATCCAAGCGCCACCACAGGACCACCCCCTATTTATACCAAACCCCCGGACCACTCCCCTAGCTATGCTCCCTGTACCTCCACTCCATCCACTGAAACAGTCGCTTCGCTTTTCTTCCTTTTTTATCTACTCTCACGCTGTGATAACGCCGAAATGACGAGACGAAATCTTAGTTTTACTTACCTTCATTCCACAGCTAAACATATTCATGGTCATTTGTCCCATTTGTCCCATTTTCACTTCAGTTAACACTTTGAAACACACGTCAGCCATGCCTGATGGTATATTCGGATCTGCGTTACAATCGGTGACATTCAAATCACCCAGTGTTGTGCATGCCACAGTCGGCGGGTTTGGTGTGCAAGTGTAGCAGGTAATGGCCAGAACTACTGAAAAGAAGGGAAAAGAAGATTATTATGGAATTATTTGACAAATTGATCCCCAAAAGTTATCTATGATTATTTTATCGTGACTTGTCATTCAATGATCCAGTACGACTTGGTTTAAACATAATTCAACCTCGTTATCGAGGGAGGAAAAGAGAGGACCCTAAATGATTATTTTATGGTAATGGCGTGACTTGTCATTCATTTTCGATCCAATAAACCCACAAAGATGATGACAACAGACTTTGTCTTTAAAAATTCGTGATAAAAACAATGCCCATCAGTTATTCGACGGAGGGATTGACGAAGAGTACAAACTATATTTGGGAAGCTATTTCTTACTTATATTGGAATCAATAACGGCGTAAAATCGCGCCATTTGTTTTTGTAAATTACGTTCTCGCGAAAGATGTGAGAGCATAAGGATTAAGATTCGCACATTTTTATCTTTATTTTTATTTTTTCCGGTAATCAAACCGTTGATATCTCTCTATCTTATTAGACGATTCGCTGCTAATGGCACTTTCTCTTTTTGTTGTTTGGGAAGATTTTGTCAGTTGGCATATTTGAATTTGAAAGATGCATATTAACATGGCAATCTTTTACGGATGCGCTGATGATAATAACCAACAACAACGATATCACTAGAACGTAATGACTTTTTTTGTCGGTTTTCTGTGGAGAGTGGAATCGAAATGATGCAGTTTGGTCCTTGTGCTTTATGACCTTTATTTATACGCGATAATATTTAAGCTACATGTTTGAGGGGTCGTGTGACAAAAAAAGGAAAATTACACGTTGTGTAAATATAACTTGAATCTGAAAATAGAAAATGATATATAATATGACTTCTAAATAAAAAAAAAATCGGTATGTATAAGGCGAGCAGTAGATGCGGAAAGTATGTCAAATTAGAATTCCTTAAAGTAGTCTCTGGCGAGTAGGCGTTTTTTAGATTATTGAGACTTGAGCGTCCAAGTTCTTGTTTATGGTAGCAAACAGTGTTCCATAACATAGAACCGCGATATTTGAGTGAGTCTTTTACGTATCTTGTTTGGAACCTGAATACTAATAACCAGAGTAACCATTTTAGCGACATTTAAGGATATTTTCAGACAGTGAGTCCGGGACAGTGGCACTATAGCCTTTGTAAAAAAGCCTGAAGATGGCTAATTTATAATACAAAAAAAGTGTAGGCCACCGGTCATATCTAAGGACGTCAGATGATGTTCATATGATAAGTCTTTAGACAGATTAATTACAATTCTTGCTGCCCTGCAGTGAAGTCTTTCTATTGAACCGAATATATCACAATTACTACAAGATTCCCACAGAACTAAACCATATCTTACAGATCTAACTTTTCAGTATACAGACGTAAGCCGTTCATACTCACCAGCTATGCTGAATATTTTATCGTGGTTAAATAAAATTATTCTTTAAAAAGAAATTTATTCCGTGTCAGTTTACACCCGTGAAGTCGGTGAGATTCAAAGTTCACACTCATTCTTAAAAAAAACCAACGTTGAACAGCGCGACAGCGAAAATCGACTTTCGATTACTTTGTTTACAATCGCTTTTTTAGACGGTGGATTACTTTTTTGGCTACATTGCTATTCTGAGCCTTAACAAGACTCCTAATCGTTTTGCCAACGCTTCATACATTGCCATACTTAAAGCTTTGCCATGCATAATTTGCCTGAATAAACTATCTATCTATCCTAAGAATTCAATGCGAATACAAGCGGCAATTCACTTACTGTTTGGTAAAGCGAACAATGGCAAAATGCACAGAGGATTGCCGTTCATCTTGGAGAGCGTCAAGTGAAAGCACTGCTGTCGGGAATTGAACTTCGACAACACGGCTAATGTAAACTGATTATGTTGACCTAAAAGGCCGAAGTGTTACTCGGAAATTTTCCGATAATGGCCGAACTGACGAAAGACCTCCACGATATGACCAAACATCCAAGGTGACTTTGGATTGGACAAATTTCTAAGCCTTAAACCTGGGAAATATCTCCCATTTCCTTTTCAATAATTCAGTTACACATAAACACGTAATAGATAGCGATGTGGACTGATGTTTCGGAGTCTTTATGACGCCAAAGGCCAAATTCACTGTAGAGGTAGAAAAGAACGACATGCTTCCTTTCCTGGGCACTCAACTACTTAACCGTGGGCCCCAAGTGGAGACCAAGGTTTATGTGAAAACTAAATAATACAGGTCTACAATTACACAATCAAAGCCATGTAGATCGGCAATCCTTATAAACGGAGCTTATTAACAACCATACTCTATCGCGCACACCGATTATCTTCCTCTTGGACGCATTTCGCTGACGAGTGTGATCGCTTTAAGATAGTTTTTTTAAGACAAGTAAAGGAGAAAAAGCCACAGATCGTAAAACAATGAGATGTTACTTTTCATTTTACAGACGCGAGCTGTTTATAAATACATTTGCTGCCGTTTCAGTAGATTAGATCCGCACCCATTAATTATTAGATTAAACGGTGGAAACTAACCTTTGATTAGTTTGTGTTCAATCGCTTTTTTTGACATTTTGTTTCAGGTGTAGATAACCAGTTTTGGCTCAATTGCCATTCTGAGTCTTAACAACACTCAGATATGTCCAAGCAAACTCCTTTGTATACTAATTGCCATAACTGGGTCATAATTCAAGTATTACCATAACTTGCCAGACTAACTAACTAACTATCGCAAGAACTTAATGGAAATTCAAGCGGCAATTCACTTACCGTTCGGTAAAGCGAACAATGGCAAAATGCACAGAAGATAGCCGTTCATCTTGAAGAGCGTCAAGTGAAAGCACCTTGAAGCACCAATTGAAGTCTGAAAATACGTTTGACGACAGCCGCTAATGCAAACTAACCATGTAGACTCGACAGGCGGAATCAGAAATTATCCAATTCTAGGGAGGGGAGGGGGTGTTGGTGGCAATCGTTGTTTGGCGGGCAACCTCCACCAAAAAGAAGCTTTGCGGCTCTCCAACACCTGTTTTAATGGAAAAGTTGACAGATCTCACTCCCATCAACCAAAACATTGTCAAAAACATGATTAACGATTTTATACCTAAACATAAGAACTGGCGGCCACTGATACTTTACTATCATATATTAGAGAAAGCCAAAAGGCACTTGAAATTTTTCACGACTTTACTTTCCTTGGCCTAGACAAACTTCTTTTTGCGATGAATATTACATCTCTTCATACTGTCATTCATAACGAAGGCCTCCTGGCCCTCAAATACTTTTTTTTGTCAACGTACTGTTAAGGAACCTAGCTCTAAAACACCACTAAACTGTTAACGGTGGCCAATTTACATTATCATCTCAGTTGATAATACCAAGTTGTCTTGTTACATGTATACTCTCCCATCGATGCAGCGCCACGGTTTCTTTAGGAACTTACCCCCTTTATTTTTCCAGTAACATAATGCCTCGTTCAATGATCTGACCTGATCTCGAAATCGCCCTCGTCGTAAGGCCATCGTGTTTCCTTCAATGTATTTTCACATAATTGTCCCAATCGTCCTAGAAGACCTTTTTTTGGACGCCTGAAACGACCCAGAATATCCTATGGAAACCAGCCATAAGTAACAGTATAACTTTTATGAGAAAAACACATCGTGAAGATCGAAATCGTTAAATTCAGTTCAAAATTTGTCTCTGACTGATAGGAGACAAAGTTTTTTATTAATCCTTATCTCAAGGATATGAGGGATTTAAATAAAGGTCTTTTGACAAACATACATAAATTTTTTGGTCAGCTTTCGGTGAGAAGTCAAAGCTTTAATAAGACAGTGCAAAGAGAAGATGTCACATGATTACACTTGGCAGCCTACGAAAGGTTAACTTGAGTATCTATGCCCAAATCCGCTGAGTACATACCGAGTAAATAATCTTCTCCCAGAAAGCACGCTGGTAATAAACAAAGTCGCACCAATTGAAGCACAAATTGAACCTCCCTTGTTCGTGGGGGGAACATTATAATATTACAGAGCCTTATGGAAGGATCAGCTCAATTTTATCGTGACGTTACCAGAATCCCTTGACTCCTGCTTCATGACCAGACATTCTTAAAATCGCTAGGTTGCTTACTTTTAGTGGCGCAGTTAGATATGACTCGACTAAGATCGTAGGAAATACGTAGTAAACAGTTTGGTAAACTGATATAATATTGGAAGGAAACCAGAAACCTGAGTAAATATCACCCTTTGCTGTCCCTTTCTTTTCTTTTTTTCATAACCACTACGGTGATCGCGTAACGTAACAACATTAATACGAAACCAATAAGCAAAAACTTCCAACCACAATTGTTCATTAGAAATGCGCAAATATGATAATTACAAGTAGTTAAAATGCACTTTGTCCTAATAAAAACGTCTGGGTCGCCGACTGGAAAATTCTAAAGTCGCTTTTCATGTTTGCTTTTTATCATGGCCGCGCCAAACCGGGTAATTGTGTAAATTAATTCTCAAAAACCTTTGTAAACCATCACCATAAAAACCCGCGCAAAACAGCTTGTCTGTTCAATTAAACATTTCGTATCAATAGCATATGGAATGACTCTCGAGACAAGTTACGAAATACTACGCGGGGAGAATTACTGGAAAGTTTATAGAAAATAATCTGGGGATCAAGATAGATTGAAGAATTCCTAACACACTAGAGGAATAGCAGCTATAATGAACACTGTATAAGTATTAGTGGGTGCCATATCAAACTGAAAATCTGTATGAGGAAAACAATACGTCTTAAGTCCAAAATTTTGATTATTGATCATCTATTTATTGAAAAATGAACTCACACTGAGACTAACCTACCTGAACAGACACAGACACCAGAATTAAGCACCTCATTTACATAAACCCTTTCTAAGCAAACAATTTGATGAGAAATTTTCGCTCTATCTTTGTCCTATTGCAATTAAGATTACATTGTTGACTTTTTGAAATCTGTGTTCTATTGACTCAAAGGTTCCGTTTGAAGGACCGTGGATCAATCACTCTGATCTATTTAGCGTTTAACAATAACAACAGTTCTGTGCAATTTACTGGACTTGTCTAACTCTGATACGAGGGGGAATCCAGCGGATGGCCAACTAATTCACTTACACTGTGTGTAGAGTAATTGCAAACGATGGGAAATTTGATCGGCTATGAAACTAAATTATTTGTCTTTAAATAGTAAAAAACAAACAAAAACGAACATATTTTAGCACCTAGTAAACATTGTTTTTAGCAACTCTTACAATGATCACTGCTCAAAGTCAGTACAAAAAAAAAAACCACGTATAGTGCGCTTGTAAAGGTGGTGGCGAATGATACAACTTTGTTGTATGCTGTGGCACCACTGGTTGCGGGGCCACTTGGTGAGGCGTTTACACTTGGCGAGGTGCTGTTTGCAAGCCCATTGCACTTGTTCTGTTCACAGCACGTGGCCTCGCATTTTTCATAGGTCATTCCAGGTTGCAGTTGCGAGGCATTGCAATACTTTGCCTGGAGGTCTTGGCACATTGACTGTGTAAAGATTGAAATAGGAAAAAATAAAATATATGATAGCAATGGTCGAAAAGAGTTTTTTCTTGAACATTTCTATGGATTAAGCTGGGAGAGGGGGGAAAAGAAATTGTCAAAGCTTTCGTGTCACCAACCATCCTTTCTGGAAAAGTGGAAATGTTTTATCATAAAACAAACTTGTTTGTTTGCAACCTGTTAGATTAAAATTATTATTGTACTCCCCATCCCACCCCTTGCTCTTACATTGAAACACTTATCCGAGCTTCTGAATGGGTTAATTGCAACGAGATTTGTGCGAGAACTTTGATTGTTTACAGGTGATTCATTTCTTTGCCTAGATTGATGCACAAGAAATTATTCCAGAATAGTTTCAAACTGTGTCGAAATTCTAAATTAAACTGGGACTGTTTGAAATTGTTCCACACCATCACAGAGGCGTAGTTCCGCGCGTCTTACATGAAAGTGGCTTACACCGCTGCGCTTTCATGTGTAGCATTGAGCTCGAGTTCATCTGAGCTCACACGGTGAGAAGGACAGGTAAATAGGGTTCCTAGAACCCTATAAGGTCTATGCCACGAAGATTCTTCGGATTAGCACGCTCTCGCGAATCTGAATTACAGAACTAAGATTTTTATAGAATAGACTGAAAGCCGAACCTATCTAAAATAGACAAGGGTCCGATAACATCCCCGGAACACTCCATATTCAAGCCTCACCACAGGACACCCCCTAATTATACCCAACCAGGACCACCCCCCTAGCTATGCCCCCTGTACCTCCACACCATTCACTGAAACAGTCGCTTCGCTTTTTCTTCCGTTTTAATCTACTCTCAAAGGCGTCGTGATGACGCCGAAATGACGAGACGAGATCTTACTTTTATGGAATTTCAAAAAAAACTTAGGGTTAGGTTTTAAACTATATCCATGATGTTAGTTAACTTAACCAGTTTAGCTAAAAAAGCCAAATTTTAACTGCGCAGGATCAAAGCTTACCTTCATTCCACAGCTAAACACATTCGAAGTCATTTGTGCTATTTGTCCCATTTTCGTTACCGTTAACACTTTGAAACACACGTCAGCCATACCAGATGGTATATTCGGATCCGCGTCACAATCGGTGACATTCAAATCACCCAGTGTTGTGCATGCCACAGTCGGTGGGTTTGGTGTGCAAGTGTAGCAGGTGATGGCCAGAACTACTGAAAAGAGGGGAAAATAGGATTATTATGGAGTTATTTGACAAATTGATCCCCAAAAGTTATCTATGATTATTTAATCGTGACTTATTCAATGATCCAGTACGACTTGAATTAAACATAATTCAACTTTGTTATCGAGGGAGGAAAAGAGAGGACCCTGGAAACGAGGCTTTGTGGCACAGGTGGTAATGACGTCCAATCAGAATTTTTTTTTCTCTCGTATTTTAATTCATTTTCGGTAAAGTATCCACGAAGGTAATGACAATGGAGTTTGTCCCTTAATTAAATTCGTGATTAAAATTAATGTTCCATCAGTGAGAATTTCACACTTTTGTCGTTGTTCAGATTATTCTGGATTGACCATCGTACAAACTATATTTGGGAAGCTATCTCTTACTTATATTAGAATCAGTAACGGCGTAAAATTACATGATGTCTCTTTGTA